TTTTTTAGACCGACTCATTAAGATTAAAAACTGGATGTTTAGATTAGCCTATAAGGTCCCTTTTCTGGCACAACAGGTTACAACACCTGTGCTGCACGTGGTGTTTATTTATAGTATGATCGTGTTCATCGCGTTTCGGAATCGAACCATGCAGCTCTTCGGCTAGGCTGATGTAAGATCTCCCAGCTCTTGGTGCTGAGCCAGCAGCTCCCAGCAAAACCTGGAGTGGGGTCTGATCGCTGTCCCTGCTACCCCTCTCCCCATGCAGGCGGTCTACTCCCATGATAAAGTCAAGATGGAAGGCACTATATCCCAGCAGACCAAGCTTATCGACTTTCTCCAGGCCAAAATGGACCAGCCCTCCAAGAAGAAGAAGGTGGGGCTCCCTGTGCTCGAACCCAGATCGCTTCTGGCCTGTGGCTCAGATCGAGCGTAGTTTCTGTTCTTATCAGTTTAATATCTGCTAGGCTTCCTGTGAGGGGGCTGCATATTAAATGGATTTTTGCCTCTTCCGCTCCTGCATTGACCTGGTATCGCAGTGTTTCCAGGACCGGTGCCCCATCCCCTGTGGGCTCAGACTTCGGTTGAAAATAGAGACCAAAGCAGCAATACAGTAGTCTGATTTGCTTCAAGCCGAAATACACGTCACTGCCCACAATGCACCGGGGCACAGTGCGGGGCACAGGGCTGCAACAGAACTGCAAGGTGAAAGGTCACCTGACGGGGGGCGGGGGTGGTCTGGTCGCGGTGGTGAATGCTTGCCGTGTCTTTCCCCACTCAGGGGATCTTCGGGCGCCGGCGCGAGGAGCTGGGGGGGCCGTCGCAGGTGCCCCTGCCCTACAACGACATGAAGGCGGCGCTGGAGAAGGAGCGGCTGCGCTGCGCCGACCTGGAGGAGGCGCTGCAGAAGATGCGCGTGGAGCTGCGCGCGCTGCGGGAGGAGGGTACGCATCATCGCCCTTCTCGTTCGCACGCCTAACATCCCAGAGCACCTGAGCCCAGAGTCAATGAACAGACAATAGTCTCAAAGTACACTTGATTACATTAATATGTGAAATTATTTTAACAGTAAAGCCTGGCGATGAATAATCGCATGCTGGGACGGTACTGGACTGACTTTTTGTCCCACTGCATAGAGACAGGAACAGCTCTGCCAGCTCTGGTCGTGTGTCATGTGATGCAATGTACCAGCCAATCAGCGTGCAGCATGCCTGGGCCAATCAGATTCGCTCACGCGGTGTGTGGGGCCTCAGGGTGGGCCCCCCTCTCAGCACAGTAAAACCAGTGACGATGCTGTCGTTCTTGCATGTAACAAAGTTTTAGTAGAGAGTATATTATGTAGTTTACGTATTTCCGTAAGATCTCTGCGAATACACTGTGTGAATCACTGACGGGTGCTTCCATGGATCCCATCCCATCCCATCTTGCTGAGTTGGGGGCTTCCTGCTCAGCCATGGAGAACCAGGCCTGCATTTCCGGGACTGTCCCTGATGCGATTGCACCTTGACTGAGCAGTTCTCGCAGCTCGTGACGCGATATTGCCGATCAACCTTCTTGAAAGTGTTCTGGTTCCTGGGCTTGACCGGAGCGTCTTCGCCCCTGTTCCCCCAGCGGCTCACTTCAAGACGGGCGACCACCAGGCCCCCTCCACGCCCGCCACGGCCCGGCAGCAGATCATCATGTCGGCCATTGTCAAGTCTCCCGAGCACCAGCCCAACCCCATCAGCCTGCTGGCGCCCTCCTCCTCCTCTCGCAGGAAGGAGACGTCCACGCCCGAGGGTGAGTCGTTTGGGGGGGGGGTGTATCTTCCCCTGGCAGAGTGGTTCGATCTTTTCCAGGGCTCGGGTCGGGCCGGGCAGAGTCTTCAAACAAGTATCTGACAGCACGTCACTGCATTTTCTACCAGTGACGTCCAGCCCAGAGAAGCTCATTTCCTACCCAGTGCACCCAGTGTGCAATGCTAGGAGAGAGACTTACTTATAATAAAAGTTGCTGTTGCCCTGGAGACCACATCGCCCCCCCAGAGTGTGACAAGTCATCCATAGCAGTGCAAGGGCTTCTGGGATAGCAATGAGAATGTTAGTTCCATTGTCCTGCATTAATCAGTTAACGATGTGTATCAGTACCGGCAGACCTGGTCGCCCCGGTTCGTCGGCTGTAACGCCAGTCATGGTGTATCTGCCCTGTGTCCTGTCTGCCTGTCCCGTTCTCCCTGGCTCTGTTTGCCTGTGCCTCAGAACTCTCTTATCTTCTTTCTTTCAAACTCTACAGAGAGAAGGAGAGTCACGTTTGAAAGTAAGTCTATAGACCCCTGACAGCAAGAGGCCTGCATTTCATATTTCCCTTTCTTTTCTGTTTTTATTATGATTTCTTTTTTTGCTCCCCTGTCAAGAAGGCTCAAGGGATTGGATTTGCTCAGCTCAGCACCAGGATCACAGCTCTATCCAGTTACTGCTGGAAGGAAGTGGCGCTAAGATGGGGTTTCTGACCCGGGTGGCACTAAGATCAGGGCTCTGACCCGAGTGAAGCTAAGCTGGGGCTCTGACCCGACTAAGCTGGGGTTTTGACCCAAATGGGGCTAAAATGGAGCTCTGTCCCAGTTAAGCCAGGGTTCTGACCCGGGTGGAGCTAAACTGGGGGTTCTGACCCGGAAGGCGCTAAACTGGGGGTTCTGACCCAGCTAAGTTGGGGTTCTGTCCCAAATGGGGCTAAGATGAGGCTCTGTCCCAATTAAGCCAGGGTTCTGACACGAGTGGAGCTAAGCTGGGGCTCTGTCCCAAATGGGGCTAAGATGGGGCTCTGTCCCAATTAAGCCAGGGTTCTGACCGGAGTCATGCTAAGCTGGGGTTCTGACCCAAGTGGAGCTAAGCTCGGTCCTGACCCGAGTGGAGCTAATCTAGGGCTCTGACCTGACAAAGCTGGGGTTCTGACCCAAGTGGAGCTAATCTAGGGCTTTGACCTGACTCAGCTGGGGTTCTGATGCCAGGAGATTCCCAGGTCACCCCACGACTGAGGTGCAGAGCCTCCTTGATCTTCACCCCTGGGGCGAGGTGACGGATGGACACTGATGATGCAGCTGATGTCACTCTAGCGACCCTGTCTTTGGTCTTTGTGGTTCACATGTGACCTGTGCTCGTTAAAGAAACAAACTGGGCATCTCCAGGGACAGGGCTGGTCCCGTGGTGCTGGGCTGGGTAGACCTGACCCGCGGACCTGTCCCCTCATTCACTTGCGGGCTCGATCCATCCCCGGTCGCCATCGGAGCTCCACCCGGCTCGTGCTGGTTATATAGAACCCCAAGCATCTTATTTTTTTAGTTTGTTTTTTTGAAGGAGGTGATCGGTTACATCCCCGCAGTGAGGAGTCCTGTCGGTTTGTCAGTGCCTCCTGTGCATGTGTGCTGGTCTCTCCTCAGTGCTTTCGTGATCGTTTTTGTCATGATTTCATGCGGTGTCACATTTTTCAGTGTTGTGTGTATCTTTGCCTTGTTTCCGTCCCACGAGTGTTATTCCTACTGGAATGGTAACTTGTGCCTTGAAGTTGTATTTTCTGCACAAGGTGCAGCTCTGTGGTCCTGCCAGTCCAGGACAGTGGTAAGTTCCTTCGCTGGACTTTGACTAGATCGAGAAAAGACACTGTAGGCTTCAGAATGCTCTGCCCTTAAATGTTCAAACACCGAAACAGCAGATGCTTGTTTACAAGATTAATTTCTCTGTAAATCAGCAAAGTGTTTTAAGACACAGATAAGCCTTTTCTGCTCTTAATGAGATTTATTTTAGCCAGATGTAAACCGGGAACCGTCTGCCCGCGCTGACCTGGAAGCTCTTGTCCCCTGTGTGCGCTGTGTCTGCTGAGTAACGGTGTGGCTGTGCTTGTTGTCACTATTGGCTTGGTGCAGAGTACAGCCGACGGGTGAAGGAGAGGATGCACCACAACATCCCCCACCGCTTCTCCGTGGGGCTGAACATGAGGGCCACCAAGTGCGCCGTCTGCCTGGACACCGTGCACTTCGGGAGACAGGTCGCCACCTGCGTAGGTAAGCGGGCGCGGGCCGGGCAGTCCGCCTCCCAGCGCCCCGCGGGGTGAGCCGGTCCGGGTTTTGCTGCA